GAGAAAATATATATATATATATATATATATATATATAATTACACGAACAATTAAAATTTTTAGAACTTTAAAGTACAGCGATACCTTGATTAACATTCAAGATATCTTAGAAGAGAAATTTAAACGAAGTAGCGTTAAATAAGATCACCTTAGCACGTAGCATGTAAACAGTTATAAAGAAACATGGGGTAAGAATAAAGAAGTTTTACTTGAATTTCAAATTATTTTGTTACACACACACATTCCCAAAAGAATACTGATGCAATAATCTACACATTCTCTCTACTTTACGATACATAATGTAAGAAAATGATTGTGCTATCTTATCGTCCCGGGGTGTATATCAATTTGTTATTTTTGCGTACTTACACTGAAGTCGCCCCAAGAGTAACACATATCGGTAATCTGTACCCACGTACCGAAGATGATCGCGATCATCGTGTAACCCACCGTGAAGTTTCTGACACGTTGCTCGGACTGGTTGGCCGCCATCCATAGTCCCACAAGTTTCATAAAAATGGACGTTAAGCTGATAGATAGGTCGTCGGTCTTGGAAAAGTTCATATCGTATTGTTGAACAACCGGCTGAACTCGTTCGGGTATTGAACTCGTTTTACTCGCATACAGTTCGTACTGATTGATCGGGGACGATCAATCACTTTGATCTATTGGTATCCCTTCACTAATCGTGTTCTTCGTATTAATTTTAGAGTACCATTCTATCGTCGGAAGAAAGGGAGAGAAAAAAGGAAAAAGAAAGGGAAAGAAATGAAAAGACGAAAAGAGAAGATAACAGAACGCAGTTCTCGATCACAGTCCCCGGATATTCTACTATTCCTTATTATTTGTTAAACCAGTATATTAACCGGATCGATAAATTATGCATGATTTCCGAGTCCGAAGATACCCAGAATTAGTGTGTGAAATCAGACTACTGTCAACAGCTGTGCCGTTTTTGTTGGAGGGAAATGTAACATGTTAAATCTCGCATGCAGAATGAGAAGTAGTTTGTAATTTCCTTTGTGTTTTTAGAAAGGGGAAAAATACAATCTATAGCGGAAGAAGATCTATTGAGGCAGTGGATTTACTTGTGATCTGATTCGTTTGCGATGTGACTAATTGTAAGTTGAATTAATTGACGAGAATAATTTACCTATTTGAAATATTCGATCTCACTGTGTTCCAATCGTTCGAGGCTAATTAAAATTATGAAACAAATAATTAGTTGTTAATTAAAATTTGCAATACAATTGAATTTTGTAGACGAAGAGACGTTTTTATTTCTCTTCGAAT